CGTTCTGGTCTGGAATTCAGTATGAAGAAGAGTGCCTGGCATGGATGGAGAGCAATACCGTGTTTGAGGATATTCTAGGCCGAGCTGGAACTGCGGATACGAGCGTCAGGCTTGATACGAGCGCGAAGATGAGGGTCAAGGTCTTCATGGCTGCTGATGGTCTTGGAAAGGATCGGTTGGTAGAAGGTTTTGGATGGAGTCTTTTGTTTGCGGTGAAACTTAAGGGAGTGATGTCGTGAGTTAAGTGGTTTGGATATGTGTGATATTGCGAAGTCTGAAGCGCATCTTTATACTAAACCAGATGGACACCGAGAGACAATCAGTCAGTAACGTCATGGTCTTGGGTGACAGATACTGATGCATTGTAGCATCATCATGCTTTGTTCTACGTCAGTTGGTCCAGGGTAAGACAGTTTGGAAGTGGATATCGAACACATACATCAGTATCCGCAGACGCATCTGCATCTGATGACATCGCCTCATCCAAACACAAGAACTGAGACGGCGAATAAACTCAAGTTCTTACGTCGAATTGAATCCTACGACGTCAGTAGAGCTGCTCAGAGCCCGTGATAAGAAGCAGTTGTCGTTTGGATCGTCAGACATACGTGCTACCCCTCAATCCATTATCCACATTGCATCATGTTGGAACCTCGTGATAAGGTGAGCCTCTAATGCAGCATAGCATTTAGACCGGACCCACGTTTTACGCATGTTGATCCTCCTTGAAAACGCCACTCAGGCCTGGATATGCTACAGTAGCACCGTCTCGTGCACAATGCCGCACTGCCGCTCGCTAGGTATAGTCGACATGAAGGTGCTTTCAATCTCGATGTATTCCTAGACATCCTGCAGCACGTTTTAACACTTGACCCGAACAGTTGTTCTGCTGATGTGGCGATTCGATCTTCCTCGTGTGAGCAAACTGTTGGTCCGTTTTACCTACTAAAACGTGTAGTGGACCTCGCGAGACTTGAACGGATGCATACCTAAGAGTTTCAATCTATATTGCCACACTCCTTACTAGAGTTCGGCACGAAGCACATATGAGTGTTTCTGCGATCCTGGGCGTGAAAAAAAGTTTTACAACTTTACAAGACCACTTCTATCAGCAAGTACATCACCTAGGTATTCGTGTACGTGCTCGGCCGTGTGTAATGTAGGGAAGGCTACGCTTTCAAGGCAGCTCCTTCATTACCGTGCTTTCCGAGGTTGTCTAGCGTGCGGTAAACAAAAGCCACGCTCTCCATTTTTCTGTAGGTAATGCAGAAGAACTCTCTGCAGTCGAACTCATGCAAAGTAAGCAAGCGTTGATACAGCAGCCTAATGGATTTAAGGCCCCCTAAGCTCTGCCAAGGTACGGCCCGCAGCGGGTCCTATGCAACATTATGGTTACGATGGTCAGCGCTTGCAAGGCCGAGTTGCCGCACCAAGCTTGCCCAGTTATATAGCCAAGGCTAAGTACACCATGTCGCGATTCGTATTATGGTCTTCCAGTAATGAGGAAGCTTGAGTTGGGATCTCAACTAGTAGAAGATACCTAGGTATCTAAATGAGGAAAAGCGTAGCGAGACTCCCTACCTGGGTATGTACTGCGTGATTAATCAGCAGCCCTACAACAGAGAGTTGTGCTATTTACGCCCCGATCCTGCTAGTATTTGGCCCCATTGGTAGGGGATGCAGCGAATCGCGAGATGGTGTACATGCACCCATGCAATGAACTAGCCATCATCCGGTGGCCTCGTTTCTGCATGCACTGCCATATCAAGCGAACGGGTGATGTCACTTTTAGTTTGAGTATCGTATTCTCCGCACTGGACATGTTATTCGCACAGCGAAGCGACGTTCGCGAGAACAGCTTGGACAGCGTGAGTGCGGCAACCGCATACCTAGGTATGCATTCAAATTTCGACGACGAGCGCTGGAAGCCTGCCAATTCGATACTGGATGGCGACATCTACAAGCTGGATGCTGAGGCTTCTATTTGATTACACATACCAGTGCAGGCGTCCCACCACAATTATATCGCGTGGGGTAGTGCCGTTTGCCTTATTCTACGCCTTACGCCCCAGAGGAGCTAACATTCTACTTTCAGTATACATCTGGACATACCTAGGTAGTTTCGGATAGAACGGAGAGAGATCAGCGGTTTCCATTTTTTCAGTCGCTTTTCTCGTTGCATTCGATCAGGGAATATCGGGAGTCACGGCTACGACTGTCGCTGGTTAAACCAAACGGAGTCTACAGGACTGTGTTGAGATGCACAAAGCCAGTAGATTACGCCCGGGCAGTCTACAAGGACTGATCCGGTGAATATAGTCGCACCAAGAGCAGCTTTCGCTTTCAAATGACGAAGATCATCGACCGATTGCTGCGGGGAGAGGATGGGCTTATTCTCCAAGGCTTACAGCTATAAAATAAAATGCAATGGTACCCTCGAGCTTGCGTTGGCACCACACTCGTCGGTATCAGCATTGTGATTATCCCTCGAGCAGCGACTTCACCCAGTCATGCAGCTTTCCAACTCTCTTTACGCAGTTGCGTTTATCCTTGCCACTACGTCCACCAACGCGAACCCTATCGCTATTCAGGCAGAAAGCTCTACTGCGATTGATAAGAGAGCTATCATTGACTGCGGTGGTACGTCTATGTGATGGGGAGAGGATATTCAAGTGCTGATATTGAGAGAATAGAATCCTACCGCTTCACCCAGTCTGCTCAAGACAAAGGGTCAGCCACATGCTAACCCGCTGTTGGGTCAGAATGCTGATGTCTCTTAAGCTATAACGACGCGATTGGTCACCTTGACGCAGGTACTACGGTGACTGCTGGAGGGCAAGCAAAGAGTGAGTACCAAGCCGGATATACAAAACAAGTTCTTTGCTAACGACGCATGACAGCTGAATGTTAGTCTCACCATGACAGAGGCGTCGCTTATACGTACACTAATCATTCTTCGCTGTAGATCCTCGTTATTATGGCGACTCGGGAGGAGTCATCACCAAGCCTGAGTGCAAAGCCGCGGATGTCATTGATCTCCGCGAATATCCAGTTTTTGTCACAGGTGCTACATTCGTTGATGGAATGCAAGCCGGACAGGAGCGGGTGGTCATTGCACGGACTCCCAACCGTGGGCGCGTGAAGTGCGGTATCATCAGTCACCGAGGCCAACCCAGTGGCCAGTTCAAGTTGTGCGGTGTGTAGTCGCGCGCTGGGTTAACACAAGGATCGGATGATCTTGTTGCTTCCAGGCCGGAATACAGGAGGGACTGGCAACACTCGTTACTTAGTGTAGCGACTCACTATACGTCTCTCTTTCATCGTATTCGTGTAGTACCGCTCTTTACTTCTGTGCCGCATTTATCACTCATACAATGAATGCAAGACCACAAATCTCTCCGCTACACGGCTCGTGCTAAGAGTGACATGGTGATGATCGAGTGCTGAGGTCCAGAAATTCCAGAGTTGTGATTGGTTGATGAGTTAGACCACTTACAAGTCTGCGTTGATGTTGAGCTGGGTTCCAGTCACGTATTCAATAAAGTTGACATGCGGCTAGCGGCATGACCTACCTGCGACTTAAAAACCAGGCAGCAGCCAAGTCTTGACGACCTGACGTAACAGCATGCGCTAGATCGTGAGTCTGGCATCCTTCTGTATTGCACTGATAGTAAGATGACGTAGTTGGACAAGTCAGAATTGTGGGCGGGTCTAGGGTCTTCGACATAAGGCCATGGTCACCCGACCATCGATACCTCTCCAATATTCTCTGCCTTTACTTAATCCTGTCGCAGAACCTTCCTATTGTATACGACTTACAGTTCCTATCCGAAGAATCATCGAACCGTAGCCTGAAGCAAACATGGTCAGCGATTGGGTACAGAATCAAGAAGAGGGTTGGTTAGGCCGCCTACTTAACGGAGATTCTGGGGCCATTGCAAAGGAATCCACATTGTGGCACCTCTACCGCATCTTTGAGGATACAATGACTCGCAAAGCCTCAGCCAAGGACTCGGCGTTCAAAACAGCTTCTCTCGTCTCCTCTGAACCGAAAGCCTGGTATGACGTTATTGGGATATATGTCACCTCCGTAGAAAAGATCGAGGACGAAGATGCTCTGAAAGCACTGGTAGACTACATTGTGGAACTGGCAAGTCTTCCCGACGCTATCAACGAGAGTCATGAAACGGTCGTCATCGATCACATAGGCCACGCCGGGGCGTCGGTGCCCATTGAGCCAGGAGAACCTCTCGTGATGGGGTATGGAGGGAAGAGACTGTGGAGGGACTTGCCAGACTTGAGTATGGAAATAACAGAGCACTTTCAAGGTAAGAGATGCCCACAGTGTGCGCTGATTGCTTTGTTAGTTGGCTTACCCGTCAATATAGGCCCTGAGCAGTACCTTTCAGATACACCATCGCCAGCGGACCTTGAAACTGCAAAGACGTTGTGGAAGAACTTTAACACTTTCCTCGCCCTCAGAGCCACAAGCGCTAGGGCCCAGACAATTCCAGTCCTTGCAAATGGAATTCGCATGGCCCGCATGACCTTGGTGACAGCCCTCGAACACTCGCCAAACACAAGCAGGGGCAAGAATACTGATCTGCACATACCCGCTGCCGAGGCATGGTTCCGGATTGCGGGAGATGAGATTGAAAAGCTTTGTGAAGCTGGGACAGAGACGTTGCCCCCGGGTGATCTTTGGGCCAGTCAAGGTGGCGGGGACGCTTGTGACAGTGCTAGATTGGGGTTTTGGAAGAGAAGGATGTCTGAGGTGGGGGCCAAGTATGGGGAAACGGCGTAGGCAAAGTTGTAGCAGAAGGCAGCGTGGCGGATACATCACCGTAGCATGGAAGCTTTGATACTCACATATCGAAGCGAGGCGGAGACAATGCACAGGCGCGCCATCCACAACACCACAAAAGCTCATTAATATGCCTACATTTCATGATTACGTAGCTCCCGGTAACTCGCAAATAACTTGTATAATACAAACACACCTAAGCAGCAGGATCTAAGAATCCCTCCAGTGTCTCATAGTTCAACGGCTTGAACAACTCGTTACTCAGATCCGCACCGCTACTGCCCAGTAAGCCTTCAAAGTTCTCGAACGCTGCGTCGAAATTCAACCAGTCTGGCGACTGTTCAGCGAAACCGAAACCCGCGGGTGGGCCCGTCATAGGCGCCGCGCGATCTGCACGTTCGCTACTTGTGGGGTGTTGACCGGGTGTAGGAGCGCTTATCGGGTTGAGAAGACTGTTCATGGGCGAGTTGGCGTGAGGATGATTTTGGTGTTGTTGGAGCCGAGGGTCGATAGGCGTCTCTCCCATGTTCTGCGTCCATGGCTGCGACTGATTTAGTGGTGCCATTTGGTTGCTATGTGTGTTTTGTGGTGCCGGCGGCTCCGTCTTCGGCTCGGTCGGTCGGGGTTCGGCTGGAACCGGTACCGGCGTGTTGACAGCGTTGGTATTACGTCCTGCTGCATTGCTGAGCACAGCTCGTCCGAGATCAGCTGTCGTGCCCGCAGACCACCAAGAGTTCCGTAATCGGTCGAGAAGGCGGACGCATTGCTTGAGTTCTTCGGTGGCGCGGTTGACGTGGACCTTTAGGCGGCGAGAGCGGAAGTGACGATACACCACGCTGAGGGCTACACCGAGTGCGTAGGGTACAATGGGAAGCGGTGGGAGTAGCTCGGGGGATTCAGCGTTGAGAAGATGGATCACTCGTGTCGCGGAGAGACTTTGTCGGACGTAGGAGGGTGTTGACTTGACCGGCGCGTTGATGGAGAGGGATTTGTGGGAGGCCATGCACATGGTGTGATGGAAAAGCGATAGAAGACCTGAAGATATTAGCAAAAATTAAAATCGGGATTTGAAGCAGATTACTCATGATAGGGCCATCGAGCTTGTCTTCGCCGTCTCCAACCATCTCTTCAAACCCTAAGAAGTCATCACCTTCCCAGCCAGTCTCTTCAGCAGCTCTGCCAGGCCTATAGTAGTCGATGACTTTGTCCAACATCTCGGAGATTTGAAGCCAAATTCCAAATGGGCTTGATCTTTTTTCCGGATCTTGAGGGAGCTGTCTCAAACTGTTGTCGCGATCGTGCATCAGCAAAGGTCTTCCGTTCATACAAGCGTTGATCTTATCCAAACTCCAAAGACACCAGAAGACATCCTCCAAATTGCCTTGGGATTCCGAACTTTGGTTTTTCCATTGATGTCCAAATTGGAGGCCGAAGGTATGCGCGTGATGGATGGCTTGTGCAAGATGCATGGAAGCTTGCTCAGCGCCATCTGGACCTTCGCAATGAAGTGATATGAGAGCAAGCACTTGGATGAGCACGACGCGATTCTTCTCCAACTTTGCTTCGATCCCAACAATGACGGCATTGTAGAGCCTTTGAGAGAACTCGCGTGGATTGAGTGGCTGGGTCTCGTTACCCAAATAAAGGTGCTTGGCGGCTGTTGCGTGTTTTGAAGCGACAATACAAATTGCTTGCATCAGAATTCGAGGTTCCCGACCATAGTTGTACTGCTCGTAAAACAGCTCCTTGTCCACAAGCGGGAGCAGCGGATGGACGTGGCTGAAGTAGATCTCGAGAAGCGCCGTTTGGTTCATACGAGAAGGGAGTATATCAACTCCGACCGCGTCTAGGTAGGTTAGGAGAGCCCTAGATACCTGAGCCTCCTGGTTGGAATGCGGACCTGTTTCTACTATCCGCGAAGCGCCTGAACCCACTTGCGACGATGCCTGTCTCTGATCTCGTTCTTCGATCCATTGTCCAATGGGAGGATGGCTGGGCGACTGAGCAGTCTTTCCACGCTCGGAGTGAACTTGCTCTCGCAAGACGGCTTCAGGGTTGAGATAGCCCAAGAAGTTGGGTGGTGTTTGGACTGTGTGGTCCGAGGCCGGGCTTTGCGGCGGCGGCATTGTGGATTGAGCATGACCGTAGTCTCCACGCGCCCCCCTGGGATCATGATAATGTCCGTTCGTAGAAGGGCTGTCTGAGGATGTCGGATTGCTTCCGCCACCACTTTGGGGAACGCTGCCGCCACCCGTGGCTCCCTCGTCATCATCAAACGTATGCGAGCACCTTTTCTAGTATAGCGTCAAATGATGGCCTTCAGAAGTTTACTGCTGGAGCTTACTCTTCTCTTCTTGCATGATTCGCAGGCGCGATGGACTCCTGCGCGACGCTGTTAGCTGCTGCTGCTTGTTGTGTTGCGCACGGTCTATACGCACTTTTGCGCTTTCGGAAAAACTCGTTATTCGCGGCAAATGTTATCATTGTCGACATGTCGGCAGCCTGTGAGCGCGCTTCGTTCAGACAGCGCAGGTTGTGTATCGCAGATAAGAGTCGCTTGGTCTCCGTAAGACAACACGAGGTTGACGTTGCCAAGGTGGTGTTTCGCACACGTGATACGGTCGCGCGCCTGCCGCCTCCGCATTTGTTGGCGCTTGTGGAGCCGAGGCGATGGATTGGCCGCCAAAACCGTGAAACCGCAGGCATCACGAAACCTGCCCTACCGTTCGCATATTGCGGAGCAGCCCGGCTCGTCAATGTTGCTTACATCAACCTATACCCTGAAGCATACGGTGCGGTTTATTGTTAAGATACTAACAGGCAGAAGCCGATGTATGCGTCAGGCCGTGTTTCTGTCGTAAATATCACAACACGGCAACAGCGACCTTTCGCGGAGCTCATCTCGATACGGTCTCGTACTGGATCACTCGCCTTCCGTCCGTCCCGTCTCGCTCTATCACCGATACGGCTGCGCCTCCTATCACCGATAGTGCTGCTAATCAGACTCGCTCTAGTCGACTTGACGTATCCCCGCACCAAGAGATACGAGTACTTCCATCTCTCACCTTGTTTTAAAATTGCGCCTGAGGGCTTCTTTCAACATCACTCGCATAAGTCATGGATAGCTCGTCACAATGCGCCATCGCATCATCTGTAGATGGCAACCGAGGCAGCCGTGGAGGGCGTCTCGCACCCGTTCTAATCTTATGTACCCTTCTCGGGCCTTGATATGCCATGCGCGGACCACGTACCTGGAGAAACCATGGTAATAGCATCTGACAGCCTTGCCGCACGCTTCATCGATACCAATCGGATGGCATGGCAGGCCTCCCATTGCCGGTGCACGTTCCATGTCGTGCGGAATGGACAAATACACCAACAAACCAATCCAAAAATAAGACAACCGGGAGGCACTTATCAACGTTTCATGGTTTGTCGGACTCGCAACATTGGGGCCTGGATACCTTCAACACACCCGAACGTATCTATGTGTTCGGCGTAACGAGCATGTATCCGTCCGACGATGCTTTCATCAGATGCTCACCTCCAATCTGGTGTCATGTGTATGTCAAGTCGTTTGTCGCTCAGAGAGATTGTTCTGTCACCCAACGTGACGGTATTAATCACAAACTCATCAGACTCCCAGCTATAAGTACATGGATGTAGAAGCTACTAATCCACCCGATTAACATCTAGTATGGTCGAGCCAGAAGCCGGTATCATGCGCCTTGCACGCGAGACTCGTCAGATGATTTACGATTACATCGTCAGCGACACCCCAGATCGGACTATCAGAGTGACACTGGTCAAGTCGACACTGAATTCGAAAGACAAGCTTCAGAAAGACAAGCCCCGGAAGGAAGAGCCCCCGAAAGACAAGCTTCATGTCGAGAATTGGGGAACTATCCTGAATCTTATCTGCACGCATTGGACCTTCGAAAACGAAGTACTATCCTACCTGTACCAAAGCTTTACATTCGTATTGACAGATAGCGAACGCACTTGTCGCCCCATTGTCGGAGCTTTCTATCGAGCCCTGGCGCCTAAGAACAGAGTCCGTGTACGAAGGATTGCCATTACTTTCTTTACCATCCGTGGCCTTTTCGACCCGGCCCATTTCACTGATTCGTCTGTGCTTCAACATTCCCAGGAACACCGTCTTAGCATCATCGATAATGCCCATCTCCACCCGTACGTACTCAAAACCTTGGCTCCAAGCGATGATAGAGGCCTTCGGAAAACACAAGCCAAGTTAGTCGAAGAACTCGGTTATGCACTCATAGTATTGAACCAAATGCCGAGTTTGGAGTGCCTCACACTCGGTGTCGATGTCCTTGAGTTTCTAACCGAAAGTATCCTCCAGACCGATAGTTTAATCTACCGGAGCGAGCCATCGGTGCCAACATCCGATCTTACTGTTATCATCGATCAAGTCAGGCAAGGTAAACTGGGGCGCTTGCATCGTTTGATCAATGTCTTGGGTAGGGTCAGAAGCCTAGGTAAACTGCGCTACATTCGACTGGAACTAGACTGGAGTGACTTCGTGCAGGACGAATATCAGAGGGCTGGTGTGACGTTTGGACCATCATGGACGAGAGACGTCAAGAAAGAGATGGAGCTACGATTCAGAAAAATGGTCACTGCATGTACCAGGAGCATGGTTGCAACGACGATATATAATGAAAAGTTGGTGTTGGATTTCCCCGGTATCATTGTTGTTCCAGGGAATATCTAACGAGCCATCGTACTTGAACAATACACCGGCCGACCCGCATCATATGTATCTGTGAGGACGTCTTCTCCTATCTCATTTCCAATCCTCCTCCCTTAGCCTCTTCCTAACATCCATCAACGCCCTGCCCAGAAGATTCTTCCCCCACCGATACCGATTCCTCTCCGCATCCTTCTCCGCAAACCCCACGCCCCAGATCCTATCATGCGGACTCGCCTCCACCAAGTCCCTCTCTCCAGTAGCCAACAACATGCCTCTCAGATTCTCCGCATCCTCGCTAATAGTAAACTTGTGGTAATTGCCTTGGGTCACAATCTCCAGTTTACCTGTCACCTGGTCAGCAACTTCTGCTCTCCAATGTACAGTGGATAGCAGAAAGTACGTACGTTCATCCCATACCTTCTCATCAAACCCGCTAACCATCCGTCCTAGCTCTTTATGCGTCTTCGGGTCCGTAGTCTCGAGCATTTGTTCCGCAATCTTTTCGTCGTTGAAACAACGCGCTTTTTGCACCATCATCCACATTTCGGTTGTGACGTAGGTTTCGGAGTTGAGCGTGAACTTGGACCAGTACCATTGGCAGAGGTAGCCGTTGCCGTCGCGGGGTTGCCAGAAGAAGACTGGTTTGGGGGCGGGTGGAGTTGAGGCTGAAGAGGATGCAGAGACAGAGGGGTGGGGGGTTGTTGTTACGGGCATGTTTGATGTTATTTTGCTATGTAAATGGTGGCTGGTGTGCTGGCGTGCTGTATCGCGTGGGCTATGGCGATGTGCGGAGAGTATTATCTGCTGTAGGGCTGAGACGGGAGTAGGCTTCGTGCACGGTTTGGAGTCCGGATCTAACATGTGTAAAGTTCCGTAGTGATGTGACTCAAGCATAGCCGTGCTTTCTCAGGTACTATCAATGCTTTGGGAACTAGTGGTGGTGTTGTACCATGGGCAAGCGACGAATTTCTACCCAATGGTAAGAACCGAGTTACAACAACTCGACTTGCTGCCAGCGACAGCAGAGTAACGCTCACACATTGCCCACATTCCGACTGCAGTTGACGAAGACAAAGGACGATGTTGTTCGAGCTATGTCAACCATAACACACCCTGACGGATACATTACACTCACATTTTCAGTACATCCACGTAAAACGCAGCGGATACCTCCAAGCCATATCGTAACAGTCCAATCTATTGAGAAAACAGTAGAGCTACCATGGTTTTCGTAGCCTGGAAAGCGCCCCTAGTACGAACAAGAGAAGCAAAAGTTTGGGGTATCTTCTTAAACGCCGCACCACCATCGTCTGTCTCAGACCATACTTGCGGAAAGGCAGCCTCGACGCTGACGTCCGACTCCGCTTCGCCTGTCCAATCAAAGCTGATTTGCCAGTTGAGTTTTAGTAGGACGTGTTTGTCTTGCAAGACCAGCGTATCACGACCCAAGTTCCTGCTCAAGTCCTTCCGTGTGATAGTGTTCGCGGGCTTGCTTTGCTGCCGTGACTGAGCGTTTTCGGTGTCTTCTGAGGTCCGGCCTACGAGTAGATGCGCAAACGCAGTTTCGCACTTGTGCCAGTGTTGTGCGCGCTTCTTCGCAATCTCCCAGTACGAGTCCATAGCCCAAGACGCATTACCCAGATCTCTTTCTTTCGCTTTCGACCGGATGAATGTACCCAGCTCATGTTCAGCCCACGGCGAGATTCGTAGAAGTTGCATTTCGATAATCTCACTCGCTAATGCGTCAATAGTAATCGAAACCTGGGCTATGAGCAGCTTTTGTGGACCTGCGATGTCGATGGTATGTTTCTGATGGACCCGCCGTGATGTTGGGGATATCTTGCCGCGCGGAAGGCTGAGTTGTGTGGAGAAGTTGAGGGATGTGAACATTTGGAGGTATGGCAAGGGATCCGCGAGTTCGACTGGGCGATGTGATGGGACGGGCTTTTCCTCTTGTTTCGGCCGTGGTGGAGGAACGGAGAGGGCGGCGAATGGTAGGAATGAACAGAGCAGACTCGATACGGGTGCTGGCTTCTCTGGCTCCGTATTGGTGCCGCTGATGTCGGATATGAACTTCCTGGTATTGTGTCAGTCACAGTCTGGCGATAATGGGAGAGGTTTGACTCACTTCAGACTGTCGCGCTCTGGAGACCGCAGAGAATCTTCAGGCCCGCGACGCTGCTCCTTAACGACTTCTTCGATGCATCTTGACACCTGAGACTCCAACTCTTCCACTTCACGCTGTAGACGCGCCTTTTCCTGCTTCCTTCTCTCAACTTCTGGATCTGGAGGCTGCCTCTTCTGTACCACTTCTTGAGTTATCTCTTCGGTTATGTCTTCGACTGGGCCATCTTCTACCGTCCCTGTGAAATCGTCTGATTGGACCGCTGGCGCTCTCGAACTCGGTGGGGGTTGCTTGACAGGATCTCTGACGCGCGGAGGTCGCTTGCTTGGCGAGGAGAAGATCATCGTTCGGCGCGGCTGCTTTGACATTGCGCGAATGTTCTGTGATGGTGTCCCTGGGAGTTCTGGCAGGTCGCTCTCGCTGGGTAGTTCCACTTCGGTCTCTTCCCTTCTGGAGCCATTTCTAGCTGGTACAGGTCGGTTTGGGTTGCGCTTCGGAGATGCCGAAAGAAGGTTCGGGTAATTACGCGCAAGGCTGGCTTTGGTAGGCGACGCAAAAGAGGGTCGTCGCGGAGGTTTCCTCAGAGGACTTGACGCTTGTTCGGTGGGCGAGCTGGTCCTCCTCCGCTTCGCTGGTGGTTCGTTCATGATGTTCGCATATGATTATTTCGCAAGAATCGCAACCGGCGCGTATTTGGGGCGCTCTCGTGGTAGTGATATGTCCGGAACTGGGATAGATGGGCTGGTGGGGTATGCGACGATAACAGTGAATGCGACGCGTCGGCGCGTGTTGTTGCCCTGTCGGCGTTCGCTGCAGCTTTTGCCGACGCTCGGAAAGGCGGCGCAAAATGACGTCGAACCGTCAATCGCTACTTTCAATCAGCTGCGAATTGGCAATCGACAGCAGTGGCTAACTTCGACATGTCATAACGAACCAGCTCGTGTGTTTGCTTCATCTCATCACGATTTTTTGGTGGCCAATGGAACGCATCGCATACTCTGGGCAACTGGCATTGCGCCAGGAGCTCTGCGCTTCGTGCTTAAAGACATGGCGCAAGTCGCGTGCTTCGACAGAGGCAGGGCGAATAGGACTTCAAAATAGCAATCGGATACAGCGTCGCTACAAAGGTTATGTTGCACCAGAAGGCGAACAAGCCAGGCCTATCACCGGCTTCTATGCAGGTTGGACCCTCACCCACGTCGCCAGCGGTACTCGAACTAACGAGACCCAGACATGCTGAAGAAACCGCTGTCGGAAGTACAGCCACTATCCCACACGACGCCCGAGCCGCCAAAAGAGCCACCGAAGACGCAGAAAGAAGAGACATTTGCAAAAGCCCGTATCATCTTTGGGTCTACCACGGCCTTGGAAGAACGCAAACAGGAAATCATGAAATCGTCCCAGAACGTTGCCGGCGTACTAGTCCCTCCGCGACCTGAAGAACCGGACAACTGTTGCATGTCCGGATGTGTGAACTGTGTATGGGACATGTATCGAGATGAGATGGAAGAGTGGGCGGAAAAGAGCGCTCAAGCAAGAGCGGCAATACAGGCACAGCGACAGGAAGGCAAGGGAACAGGCAGCATGGTGGCAGGAGACACATCACCGAGTCATGTTGCGACGAGTATGGACGACGATGGCGGTGGCAGTGAGACGAATTGGGACACTGGGTTCGATGATGCGGAGAAGGACAAATTGTTTGACGATATACCCGTGGGCATTCGGGAGTTTATGAGGACGGAGAAGAAGTTGAAGCAGGCGCAGAAGAAGGCGGAAGCCGCTGCGGCAGCGTGAGCTTCGAATTCGGCAATACCCATGCAGTTATCCTGCCATTCAAATACCCGTCTATTACAAATCTTGCAAGATTCCATCTTATCCCCTAAAATGACACCAAGTATGCTGCACCTCAATCTTCCATCTCGTCTAATCTTCGCCGACATCCACGCCCTTTGCCTGAAGATCTTTCCGCGCCTCCGCTATTTGCTGCATGAGCTCCTTGTGCGCGTCGGGTACGTCGTTGAAGGTGAAGACTCCCCAGCCGAGCTTGAAGAGGAGGTATGCGCCGAAAGAGATGAGGGCCCAGAAGGGTAGCTATGGTTTGGTTAGTGGCAGCGCAGTACAATAATAATGGAGACGGTAAAGGTAGTGGGGCTACGCGTTAAGGTAAAGCTAGGACTTACGAAAGGGACAATCTCCTCTTGGATCTTCTGAGGCAGCGGGACGACTTGGAGGAATAGAGAGAGGTAGATCTTTCACATGTTAGCATCCAATCTTGTATATATAGAGGTAAGGGGCTGCATACGGAGGTGAGGAGCATGCCAATGCTGATGGTCTGCGTGGCGCGCGTCATGATGGCGAATTGGTTGTTGTTAACGGGTTAAACGAGGGTCGGTGGTCGGAAGAAGTGCGGGTGAGGGCGTGGTGCTCGACGTCTGTGGTGGTGAATGTTCAGTGCCAGATCGCTCAATTGCCGCCAAGGGATCTGTGTCCAGGGGTCCAACGGAACCGGCCAAAGGCAAGGCCAACCGCGCGGTGGGTCGACGCTGCCGCAGGAACTCACCCCGTTTCTTTCCGCATCTGCAAAAAACAAGTGGCTGAACTATTGATTGCACTTTTTCTGGAGTTCTCCTGAAACCAATCCGACTAGTAGCTATCACCTGTACGGCGGCTCCGGACGACTGCGAGTAGCCGTTTCATCCTTGCGCAATCTCTACCGCCACTATGCACTCTTGAGCTTTGCCACGACTTTGAGCGACTGCGTTTCTTCATCTTCACACTTTTGCGATATGCCATTATCCAATGAGGAGCTTGGCGACTATATAGCGTCTTTAGAGCGCCTACTCCAAGCCAACCCTGCAGGCCAGACCGCTGTCCTCACAGGTTACGTGCATAAGCTCGATGCGTTTGCAGCAAGTGGGGACAATGAGGCCATAGAGAAGACCTTGCAGCTGTTTGGGACGGCTGTTGGCGGTCGGAGTATGTTATGCCTCTGTTCAAAGCCAACCCTGCTGACGCTGTATAGAAAGATGGCAGGCCCCGTTCCGCGACAGCGGCATCCTTGCTTATGCTCTTCGTGGCTTGTCCACCGTTCGCCATGAAGATCCCGTAGCAAAGCAATACCTGAGAGTCATCGGCAACTCGGTTGCTGACAATGGTACTGTAACCCGAAGAGACCCTCGTACGACGCAAACAGTCTGACTGGAGTCAAGATACCAACAGAGAGCTCGCCGTGAGAGAGCTCGGAGCCATCGCTGGCTGCCTTCCCTCGCCAGAACTACGCTTGACCACTTTGGCCGTACTTTTCAATCTTTGTAATGATTTTGGTGAGCAATGCCACAGGATCCTCCAGACATGCAGCTCATGCAGATAGAACCCGGCAAAGCTGCAGCGGCTGCCCTCAGACTGGATGCCACAATATGCACCTTCCTAGTACTGGACAGAATCCCGGAAGCAGCCCTGGATTACGCTACGGACCTGCTGAGCTGGACCACAAGCAACCTGAGCGATGCCCAGTTCAAAGACGAGGTTTCGCTGGAGACATTCAAGAGTCTGCTAAACGTAGCACTGCAATACGATGAAGACCACCACC